CACACGCCTCTCTCCCTCTCCCCCTCTGTCCATACAGTAAGGACACTGGCGCCGATGGACGCACGGTGGTGGTTCGTAGAAGGTTGATTGAAGCGTTCAATCACAACTAAATAACATTAGTGGAGGTTCAATCCTTGCCTGTGGACCAAGTAGAGGAATAACGTTTGAGGTTCTTGTTCTCCTTATTGTTCTTGCTCGATCACTCGTGGAATCACGCTTCAAAGGTATAATTATGTGTTGTTTGTGTGTTATGCATAGATCTTGTTTTAGATGCTTATGAATATGATTCATGCAATTCCGCTTAAAGTATCTAAAGTCCTAAAGAAACACCACGATCACCAACTTTGCCGAAAACCGGAAACACCACGAATTACCACCACTAATGTGTACCAAGACCGACGCAAGGGGAGAGAGTGCTGTGAGATAGAGAGGGAGTTTGAGGGGTTTGGTCTCGTGTTTGCTAACTCAGGTTTTTGATTTATAGTAAAAGTGTCTTAGAAAAAACCTAGGCACTTAGTCTATTTATAATCTTATTATAATTAGTCTAGGAGCAAGGCCCAAAATCCTCACCACTCTACCATGTGGCCGGCCACCTCGAGGGAATAGGCCTATCATGGGTCTCTTCCTCTTATGCTCAATCTAGGCCTCTTTGTGTGACCTTATAAGATCCGTTCAATTGGGCTTTAGATTATTTTATTAGCCCAAAGATCGTTATTACCTCTAGCTATGATACAACGTCGATTCGAAAGAACGAACTTAATTATCTCCATAATTTGATCCATTTTATATATCTAATAATTGCACTTGACAAAGACATAAATCCTTTATTTTGTGCCCGGGCGATGCCCGGATTGTTGATAAAATTTTAGGATAAACTTTTCGGTTTGAATGTTAAATTGGGTCAAATAAACCCATTTGATAATGCAGAATAGTAACAAAAAAATTATATATGATTAGCATAAAAAAAATTATTAAAACGCTTTTTAAGTGAAAAAACCGTAAAATTTTAAGACCTTGCTAACATTAATCTGAATTCACAGTTGTTTTTGACCTCTTTAATTTCATCAACAAAAATACGAACATATACAAAAACATTACAACCGAATATGGAGAATACCTAATTCAAAAGCTTTAATGGTAAACCAATGATCGACTAAAAAAATAATTATACATGGCCATATTTATAATTATAATTACGTGATTATTCGTATAGGAGTAAAATTCTATTACTAATTAGATATTCATATAAATTATAATATGTGGTATGTTGCTATAAGTAAAATTCTATTATCAATAAAAAGATAAATTTTTTTCAAAAGAATTATATTATTTTATGAACATTTTTTTTATCCTAAACAAATCTATCCAATCTAATCTAACGTGACATCTAATCTTATCACAATAATATCTATTTATCGCCTACGTAGCTCGACACTTGGCGAAAAAATGGAATGCCTAGTGTCGCTGTCTCATGGCCTGACTGCGAGACCGGCTTTATTTATTAGTAACTAGTTTTGTGCCCGACCGATGCCCAGATGCTTGATAAAATTTTAAGATAACATTTTCACTTGAATGTTAAATACGGTCAAATAATTCGTTATGATAATGTAGGATATTTAGACATATGATATCACATTGAGTGTACTTTTTGCAGTTTTATTTGTAAATAGATATCTATGTTATTATTGACTTGAAATTATTTTTATTGAACTTAAATTATTATCACTAAAGTGAAAGTATTTTTACCAATCTAAAATTATTTTTACTGATTAAAACTTATTTTTACTTATTCTCTAATATTATTTTAAATAAATTAAATATCAATGCATTTTGTATGCGGCTAGCCACACCATCTGGCCAAACGAAGTAACCCCTATAAAACTGATTGAGTAACCTCTGTGATACTAACTAAGCAACATCTAATACTAACTAAGTAACCCCTATATATAACACTGATTGAGTAACCACTATAACACTGACCAAGTAACCCTATAGCACTAACGAAGTAACTCTTGTAATAGTTGGTGACATGGTTTGGCACTTTGGCCACCTACGTATAAAAGTTTGTGATTAAATATATTATAAATGGATCTTATTTTAAAGAACTTATTAAAACGAATTTAGAATTGAGCTGTAGGATATTTATCAAAAGTTATGATTAATTTTGTATATATGAAATATTAGAATTCTATCGGTAATAAAACTCTATACAACAATTTTATCCTAAAAAATCTATCCAAAAATTGCTTACTAAACATCATATATGTCACAATAATACATACTAGACGGAAGCCCGTGCGGTGCACAATTTTTTATACATAAATCTCATGAAAAGATTATTTTCTTAATTTAACACTATAATTTTATTATTATTTTGCTTGTTAGAAAACGAATAATTTGTTTTATTTTTATGCGACTTATAATGCGACCTTAATTTACTTAATATTAGTTATATGAAAATTATATGTATGGTAAATATTAGAATAAAATCTTAATCCTATTCGTATTTTTTTAACCTATGATCGATTGTATAACGAAAACACGTTGTTCCACTATACATATATAGTTATAGAATCACTATTTTTCTTTCACAAACAATAACTTAGACCACCATTATTCTTTTGCTCCGTATCAACTTTATATAATGAAAAATTAATAAAGTAAACCCAAAACTACAAGGTTAAAATAAAGACGGTGGGAGTAATAGTAAAAGATATGACTTTATAAATTTTTAAATAGTTAAATGAAATATTTATATACTACCAAAAGTGTTGCATTACTAAAATTAATCTAATTGAATAAAATTAAATCTTTATAATGAAATTTCATTATCATATGTCCTTAATAATAGAGTTATATGTATACACTACTACAATGATTTTTACAACAATAATAGAGATATTCCACCAGAAACTATAATACATAAAAAATCAAAATTATTAGAGACATCTCTTACAATCTTTAATTTTTTTTCCCTACTATTGTAACATTATAGTTGACTTAGGGACTGCTCTAATTTACTGAACTAAGCTGAACTGAACTGAACTAAACTGATTGAAGCTGAACTAAACTGAATATTTTATGAGAGAAGGAAATTAGGAACTGAACTGAACTGAAAATAAGTTGAAGAGAATAGGCCCTTACTTTTCCAATCAACACATTTCTCTTTTGGATTTATAAGTGCTTGAAGAAATTTCTTTCAATTGGCGCATGGACATAATCCCTTTAAATACAGAATAATTAATATTAAGTTACAATTAAGTTGTTTAACAAAATTTAATACGATAAGTAACATAATTAGATTAGGTAAAATAAAACAAAACATACATCTTATAAAATAATGAATAACAATCAATTTATTTTGTTTACCATCAGAAAGCCTTGATATACTTACATTATTTCCAATATTTTTTGTTAATCAACGAATTAGACCTGAAAAAAATTCATACCATGAAGAAGTGTAGATAAATAATATTCACATGTTTGTGTTTTTTGTATAGTATGTAATATACTGTCTATTTACAATTGAAAAAAAAAATTATATTTTTGAGAGGATGTATACAAATCTTTAATATCATCCTATCTTATATATTTGTAGAGTAGCAAATAAATCTCTTATAAAATTTTTTATCTAATCATGAAATGGGTTGCTATATAAGATCAAAATTGAACATTATTGTTTTTTTTTGAATAATATCGATAAAGACTGAACGTTATTGTTATTTATTTTTTTTAAGAATATTGATTTTTTTTAAAAAAATTTGAAGAATATTAGTTAATTATTAATAATTTATATTTAAAAAAAAAAAATTGATTGAACGTTTTCTTAAACACAAAATGAACATATATTTTCGTTTTTCAAATATTTAATTTTAAAGTGTTTGTATATAATAATTGTATAATTTATAGTTTTTTTAAAAAATTAAATCCGAATATCAAAAGATCATCTTTTAAAAAAAGATAATTTTTAGTTTTAAAATAATTTAAATCTTTTTTTTTTTGAAAGGATAATTGAAATCTTAATAAATTATTATTCGTCATTTTTACCTACGTGGCAAAAATTTTAAATTTCATTCTAAAATAAAATACAAATCTAACTTTTAATTGGTCGAAATAAGAATATTTCTTACGTGGCGCGCCAAATGCTCTCAAAAAATGCCTACTTTATTTATATATATATATTAGATTTATCCCCTACGTGGCGCGACATTTGGCGAAAAAGTGAAATGTCAAGTGTCGCTATGTCGTAGCCTGGCTGCGAGACCGACTTTATTTATTAGTGATATGATATGATTGTGTAATTGAGGGAGTATAATTTTCGAAAAAAAAAAAATATAGAAATTGAGGGAGTATATGACCGTGGTATGAAATTTCAGCTGATAGTCAATAGTCGGGAGGAGAGCTAATTTACATCTACTCGTAGGGGTCTACAAAAATTGGCCCGGACCTGAAACCGGACCTGAACCGACCTGAACCGGACCGGACCTGACCCGGACCTGTTGATTCAGGTCCGGTCCCGGTTCTTAAAAATCCAGGTTCCCGGTCCCGGTCCGGACCCGGTCCAAACCCGGGGTTTTCAGGTCCGGACCTGAAACCCGGGAAATCGTAATTAAAAAAAAAAAAAAAAAAAAAAAAAAAAAAAAATCTGATTCTCTCAGCCTCCCTCAATCTCTTTCATATTTTTAAGTTCTAACCCTAACTCCCTAAGCCCAAACTCTCAGCCTCCCTCAATCTCAACTTCTCAACGCGGCTGTCCGGCTGTCCCAACTCGCTCCGGCCACCGCCCACTGCCGACACCTCCCTCATTCTCTCAGGCGATGCACACCGATAATATCTGGTAAGTATTTGCTTATAATTTTGGTATTTTTAATTCGAAATAATAAATTAAGTGTGAGAATTTATATGTTTATTCTTGTTTCAAATTTTCAATTGCTTTTAATGATTGTTTGATGTTTGCATGTTGAATTTCTTATTTTTAGTTCATCTCTTTCGAATTTCTGTTTTTTTTTTTTGGTTTTTTTGAGTTTAGGGTTCATTAGAATTAAGAAGTTTAGGGTTTAGGGTTCAAGTGCGAAATTTAGTTCAAAATTTTGTGTTTATTATGATTATTAAGATTAATTTAGTGCGAAAATTTGTGTGGTAGGGTGGGTTGGGGTGGGGTTATGGTGGGGTTACGGTGGTACGGTTCTGGTGTGTGGGGGTTAAGGGTTAAGGGGTGGCAGTGGGGTGGGGTGGGGTGGGTTGGGGTGGTGAGCTGGGGTTTTTGGGATGGCTGGATGGAAAATTGTGAATGTTGATGGGGTTGTCGGGAGTGGAGATGGGGTTTTCGTGGTGGCTGGTAGGGTCACCGAGAGTGGAGATGGGTTTTCGGGGTGGCTGGGTGGTGTTTTGGATTGGAGGGGGTTTTGGAGTGGTTGAAAGGAGTCAGGGCAATGTTGGTTCTGTTTCGGAGCGTGTAGGGGTTTTTTGTGGATTGAGAAATTGGGTTGGATTGGTGTTTGGCTCGATTCATTTGGAGCAAGGTTAAATGTGTACTGTTGGTTCCGATTGTGATTTCCTCCTTTTCAAAGGTGAGAAGGATGGAGTAGCAAACTCACGGGGTCTTTTGTTGGATTGAATGTTCTGGGGTTGAGGTGGGTCGATGGTTTTGAAAAAACTCTTGAGATTCACTGTGGTTGTTCTAAATTTTTCAGTTCTCTTTAGGCCAATATTCATGTTTGAGAGATTCTGGGCAAGCAATATAGCAGACTTACATAACCCACTCTTGTCAACCAAAAAAGGAACAGACATATAAGGATTCAAAGAGAAAGTATCTGCTTATGGCCAACTCTATTACACCTAGAGCACAAAATAAACAAATTCTCATATCTGAGTAGCTGATTTGATCAAGGATGGCCATTGGTGAGACATTTCTGTCAGCATTTCTGCAGGTGTTGTTTGAGCAGATGCTGTAAACTGGAGGGAAGAAGTTCTTGAAGCTGATTGGCGGATTTGATCTGCCCAAAACTATCAATAAATGGAAAACGCAACTTACTGTGTTGGAAGCTCTGTTGGAGGATGCTGAGCTGCAGCAGTTTCACAGCAAACCTGTCAAGTTATGGCTAAATGATCTCCAAGATTTAGCTTACGACATGGAGGATATCTTGGATCATTTCGCAATTGAAGCCCAGCGTTACGAGTTGGAAAAGGCGGAGGAAGATCAAGATCAAGATGATCACTCTCACCAAGGGATTCTAGACAATATGGTTTGTGCTGCTACCTTGCTAATTTTACTTTTCTCCCTAATTGCGATAATACTAGTTAGAATATTAGATACTAGTTTTTGTAAAAAAAAAAAAAAAAAAAAAGATTGAATAAGGAGTCTTTTACAGAAGAAGAAGAAGAAGAGCAGTGTTTTACCTGTTCTCAGGCTGAGTTACCATCATATGCCATATCATTTGAAGCGTGTCTTTGCTTATTGTTCTGTGTTTCCAAAAGATTACAAGTTCAAAGAGATGGAAGTTGTCTTACTATGGATGCCTCAGGGCTTCCTGCCAGAAACCCAAATTGAAAGTATGGAAGATATGGGCCACAAATACCTTAATGACTTAAGATTATGTAATTTTATGAGTTTTCGTGGACTTATTTGTATTTTCGGTGGACTCATTTGTATTTTTGGTGTTTGAGAATCGGGACTTTATAGACTTTATGTAGTTTTCGGTGGACACAAGTATTTTTGGTATTTTTGGTTTGTATGTAATTATTAAATTATGCAACAGGTCTAAAAATCACAAAACAGGTCCATATGCAGGTCCAACAGGTTTTGTATTAAAAAAAAAAACGAAAAAGACACAAAACAGGTCCATTCAGGTCCAAACCCGGACCGGACCTGATTTTTCAGGTCTGGCCCGGAACCGGACCTGTTAATTCAGGTCCGGTCCCCGGTCCTCATAATTACCCAATTCAGGTCCCCGGTCCAAACAGGTCCGGTCCAGGTCCGGTCCGGTTTTGGACCGGTGTACACCCCTATCTACTCGTATGAAACAACAATTTCAGCTGATAGCTGATAGTTTGAAGGAGAGCTAATTCATAACTGATATCATTAGCTCCGTCCCTCTTTCTGCTACTCTCTCTTCCTCTTTCTCCCTCTGCGATTCTTCCTCCTCCTCTGATTTCGTGCATCATCAACACGGTTCTCTCTGTCACTCTTCGTTTTCGTCGTATTTCAGGTATATGATTAAACTCCTCTTTATTTACTTGAATTTAGTTTCAATTTTTTTGTGGGTTTTGATTTCAGGGTTCTGCCATTTGAAATTGTTTACTATGGTTTTTGGGTATTTTGTTCAATTGTAACTAGAAGTTCTTACCTATTTTTGCTTGTAAAATTTGATGTGTTGTTGTTGAATTATTCAGTCTGATTTAGCGTATGTTCACTGCAAATAATGATGAAATTTGCGGGTTTTGTGTCTTTGTTTTGCAAAAAACCAATTTGGGATCACAGTTATACATTAGGAATTTCCCAACAAATTTACCCCGAGACCCCTAACTGCATAATTGCAAGGTGGCAGCACTGCATTATCAATAAACATACTGCCGGCAACTTCAAAGAAGACGGAGACAAAGACGATGATTCTTCGACGACAGGGGAAACGACCGTTACAGCTGAATTGTACAAAAAATGAGTGAGTCTGGAATTCAATTGCTTATTTCTATTGAATTTACTATCTTGGTTTTTGCATTTGTTCGTATTCTTCGCTAAAATGTCGGTGGTTTCGCTGCTTGATTTGGGTTGTGAGAAGAATATCTTATCTCATCAAGAGGATATTCATCCAGTAGTGGTTTACGACGATCCTTCAGATCAGAGATCATTATCACTAGATGATATAAGTAGCGCTGATGATTTGCCTAATGAAACTGGCCTTTCTTTAGAACTTACAAATGAGGTTGTTCCTTATATTGGCCAGAGATTTACTTCACATGATTCTGCTTATGAATTTTATAGTGAATTTGCTAAGAGATGTGGGTTTTCAATTCGTCGTCATCGAACTGAAGGAAAGGATGGTGTTGGGAAAGGTTTAACTAGACGGTACTTTGTTTGCCACCGTGCTGGCAATAGCCCGGTCAAAGTTGCTAATGAGAATAAGCCCCAAAGAAATAGGAAATCTTCACGTTGTGGGTGTCAAGCATACTTGAGGATTAGCAAGACAACTGAATTGGGTATTTCTGAATGGCGTGTAACTGGTTTTGTTGATCACCATAATCACGAATTGTTGGAACCTAATCAGGTTCGTTTCTTGCCTGCTTACCGGAATATATCAGAAAATGATAAAAGCCGAATTTTTATGTATGCCAAGACGGGAATTTCTGTGCAGCAGATGATGAAGCTGTTGGAGCTAGAAAAATGTGTAGAACCTGGGTACCTTCCATTTACGGAGAAGGATGTTCGGAACTTAATTCAGTCATTTAGGAAATTGGATCCAGAAGAGGACAGTATGGACCTCCTGAAAATGTGCAGTAACATTAAGGAAAAGGATCGTAGTTTTAGATTTGAGTACACTTTGGATTTGAACAACAATCTAGAGAATATTGCGTGGTCTTATGCTTCATCAGTTGAAGCATATGAGATGTTTGGTGATGCAGTTGTCTTCGATACTACACATCGATTGACTGCTTTTGATATGCCCCTTGGAATATGGATTGGAGTAAATAATTATGGAATGCCTTGTTTCTTTAGCTGTGTACTTTTGCGTGAGGAAAATTTGAGCTCATTATCATGGGCTTTAAAGGTACATCTCTGCCTATCTTATACCACTCCTGTTATATCTTTACCTTATTCCCTTTGTGTCATACATGTCCCATTCATCTGGTTGGTGGGTAATTTTACAATGCTTGTTAATATAAACTTCTAGTTGATGCTATGTAATGACTTGATAATATTGCATATATGTGTTGGGAGAAACTAACACTTTATGGCATATTATATAAATTATTAGCTTAAGTTTATATTATCTCATGAGAATGTGGTCCTTTGCCGTGCGATGTACTTGAACTTGAGTGTTCATGTTCATCAAATTTTTTTTGTTTCTTAATTTGATTCTTTTTTCCGTGTAGGTATTTCTAGACTTCATGAATGGAAAGGCTCCACAAACAATATTGACTGATCAAAATATGTGCCTGAAAGAAGCAGTGACAGCGGAGATGCCTACTACTAAACATGCGTTGTGCATATGGCTCATTGTAGCAAAGTTTCCCTCCTGGTTTAATTCTGTCCTTGGGGAAAGATACAATGAGTGGAAGGAAGAGTTCTATCGACTCTATAACTTAGAGTCCATTGATGAGTTTGAGTTGGGTTGGAGGGATATGATTTATTCTTTTGGTTTACACTCTAACAGACATATTGCCAATTTGTTTGCCTTGAGGTCACTTTGGGCCGTATCATACTTAAGAAGCCATTTCATGGCTGGATTGACTAATACCGGCCAATCGAAGTCAATTAATGCTTTTATCCAACGTTTTCTTAGCGCACAAACTCGGCTTCCTCATTTTGTGGAACAAGTAAGTTTCCATTTATTGCTTGTGTCCATTACTGTGTGACTATACTTCATTGATTATTCGTGTTTATCTGCAACTTTGATTGGTTATCTAGCACATGTCCCACTTTCATGTCATCACGGGTTAACACCCCAAATCCTCTTTGAACAAATAATTTGAAGTCATATCTATTTCTTTTGTCACTACGTGGACTTTTAGCAGTTTTTCAAACTTTAGTTATGGTGCTTTTTGGCTTGACTTTTGTGGTCAAGTTGTGTTACTCATGTCCATTAAAGTTAGATAGATTATGTGTTATAGCAACTCTCTCTTGCAGCAAAGATTTGTCTATGCTTGTTCTTCAGTATTGCTTCAAAAAGATAGAGTGTGAAATGACTTTTCCATTCCATTTTTTGAACAATGGGGAAAAACATGGAAAATGGAAAATCAAATGGAAAGTTGTACTCAATTAAATGTCATTTACTTTGTAATTAATTGCTCTTTAGGGAGCATGAAACTGGATATTAGAATGGATTATTGGATATGGTAGCTCCAAGTTTGGACTAATCTGTTATATGTTTTTGTTTGTGGCTTGACCTGGACTTTGACTCTCAAAGCGTAAAAGATAGGAATGTTATTTAAGTTGGTAGATAGGAGGGACTTATTTTAAGGTTAGTGAATGTGGTGGTGGCTTTGGGAACGGTTCCCCGAAAATGATTGCTGAGGTAATGGTGTAAAGTACCTCGGTCCTTTAATGAGTGTACGATATGTCTTATTTGGGATTTATGATCTCTGTAGGTTTGGTTAAATGATGGAAAGGGGAGGGTGATGAGGTAGGGTGTGGTGTCTATCATTGGGTCAATTGAGGTTTAAAAGGTGCGGGAGATGTTTTGGTTGTGGAGTGATTAGGCGATGAGAGAAGGGCTATGAAGGGGATTGTGGGGATGGAAGAACAAGATTCCTCTAGAAATGGAGATTGAAATTTCAAGGGTACAAGCATAATTATTAAACTCTAAGCTAACTTTTTATTTTTATTTTTTTATTATTATTATATATATATATATATATATATATATATATATATATATATATTTATTGTTCTCAATTATATTTGGCTCGCACTAAAATAAATGAAGATAGATGAACTTCAATGGCTCATATTTGTATTCATACTTAATAACAATCAAAAATTGGAATTTAATGATGAATAAAAAAGTATGGGACTGGGAAAGATCTACATGAAGCATTCAGGTGTCAGGATTTCATTGTTATAAATCAATAATGGAATCAATGCTTTATTTGATCCAAATTCCTTAACTTTACTAGAGGATTGTTAAATCATCAGGTATTTATGGGAGACACAATTAGGTGTCTACACCTAGGGATCCTGAGCTGAATTTTCATGTTTTGTTTTAGTTCCAGATATGTTTAGATTCGTTTCAGCTGCTAATCCATCTATTTTTAATACATTTGTATGTCTAGCAAAAGTACATCTTTGGGTGACACATGTTCTTCACACCAAAAGTTTTCTATTGTCATGATTTATTGAAAAGTAAGCTTTTTTTTTCCATCTTTATGGGCAGCTCTACTTTGATCTATTTAGACTGGTGATACTATTGAAGATCCTAAAACTATAATGGAACATCTATTCATTGTTAGGACAAGTTCTTGCCACTAGATCAGGTAACCATTTTTTGATTCTACCCTTTTGCATTCTTGCTAGTATTAGGGTTTATGTGTTTTGTTTTGTTGCCAGCTACCAAATATTGGATTAGGAATACTGATTGAGTGTATAGTTCTTAGAAATACTTAGTGGGGTTATCATTATGGCTAAATGTGTCTTTTACAAGTGCTAATTTGCTAAGATGTGTCCCTTGTGCCTACAGTTTTGTCAATTTTCCTGTCAATTTTCCTGGAGATCTGTTTGCGATTGCTTAAAGTAGAAATAAGTATCTTTGGCTTTTCTTAACAGGTTGCTGTAGCAGTTGATTTTAAAGATCAGGCCGGTGAGCAACGAACAATGCAACAGAATTTACAAAATATTAACCTGAAAACTGGAGCACCAATGGAAGCCCATGCTGCCTCAGTCCTCACACCCTTTGCATTCACCAAGCTTCAGGAGCAACTTGTTTTGGCTGCCCACTATGCTTCTTTCCAAATTGAAGATGGTTTTCTTGTACGACATCACACTAAACTCCAAGGAGGTCGGAAAGTGTACTGGGACCTACAACTAGGTATCATTAGTTGTAGCTGTGATCTGTTTAAATTCTCGGGTATCCTATGTCGGCATGCCCTTCGTGTTCTTTCCACTGGAAATTGCTTTCAGATCCTTGAAAGATATCTTCCACAGAGATGGCGACGATTCAATTCATCTGCCTTTAAGCTTCAGAGCACCCCTACTGACCATGGAGAAAAAGTTATACGGTTGCAGAGCATGGTATCTACCTTGGTTTCAGAGTCTTCCAAGTCAATGGAGCGCTTAGATTTGGCAACTGAGCAAGTATCTATCCTTTTGTCACGGATCAAGGAGCAGCCAATTTCAACCTCATTCGTCTCAAGAGATGCTACTGTGCATAGGAGTTTTTAGTTTAACCTGTACGATATGGATTTCATTTTTTTCCATGTTGTTGAACACAATAAGGATTCAGTTGTTTAAAGGCAAGAACCGAAGGATTTATGTCTTCGTCAAGTGCAATTACTTGATATATAATGGATCGAATTATGGAGATAATTAACTTTGTTCTTTTGGGTCGTCGTTATATTATAACTAGAGGTACTAATGATCTTGGGCTAGTAAAATAGTCTAAAGCCCAACTAAACAGATCTTATGAGATCACACAAAGGGCCTAGATTGAGCATTAGAGGAAGAGGTCCATGACGGGCCTTCTCCCCTAGGTGGCCGGCCATGTGGGTAGGTTTAGATTATAAATGGACTAGGTGCTTAGGGTTGAACATAACATTTAATGATCAATAATATCAATTTATAATTAGCAAACCCAAGACAAGCCTCTCTCAAACTCTCCTTTCTCTCTCAAGGCTCTCTCTCCTCTCCTTGCGTCAGTGTGTGTACGGTGGTGGTGGTGGATCGTGGTGGTGCCGGTTGTCCATAAAGATGGTGATCGTGGTGTTTCCCTTTCACTCGACCAATCTAGTATTGGTGGACGACTCATTCGAATCTCGTGGACTAAGTCGAGGAGCAACACTTGGGGCTCATTCTTTCCCTAATTGTCAATCAACTTGCTATGCGGAAATCACGCTTCAAAGATATAATTATGTGATTCTTGTGTGTTATGCATACGATCTTGTTTTAGGTGCGTATGAATATGATTCATGAAATTCCGCTTAGAGTACCTAAATCCTTACAGTGGTGTTTAGGGTAAAAATTACCCTAGACATGTGGCCCAATGAGGGCCTGACACGTGTCACCTCCTTATATCACCATGGGCATCCAACCAGTGGGTGCCACGTGGCATTGTACCCCTAATGGGGAGCAGATCTTCATCTGCTATAAATAGAGGAATCATCCTCATTTATTGGCATTCATAAATACGCACACCAAACCCGAGCAATATTAATTGCGGAATCTCCCGGAATCCGAGACAAATACCCGTTTACCTTCCGCACGTAATCCCACCCGGAATCATACTAACTTGATCTTCGGAGGCGGAACTCCACCCAACTGGAGTTTCGTGGTTTTGCAGGTACAAAAGTCAGCGTGCATTTCCGGTGCTGTAGCTCTCCCGCAGGACACCTCAGAAAACCCCGAAACAAGTGGTATCAGATAGCCTCTTGCATGAACACGCTTGATTATATTAATATGATTATTTGAAGTCTATGTTCATAATTTTATAATCAATTAAGAGGGAGAATTAATTGAATTATGGTTCAATTATTATACTCCCTCTGTTTCGGGGTTTTCTGTGACCCTCGGGAGAGTTATAACACGGTGCCTGTACCTGCAAATCAACGGAGACTCCGTTTGGGTGGAGCTCCGCCTCCGACGATCAAGTTAAAACATGTTCGGATGATGTAAAAATTGCGGAAGGCGGTAAAGTAGTATCTTCTCAGATTTCGAGATCGGGAATATTCTCTGAGGTGAGAGTTAATAACCTGTAATCATTGACTGCTCTGGTTTGTTTGTGTTAAATGAATGTGTGTGGATCTGTGTTCCCTAGGGGGAACATCTCCCTTTTATAGGGTCTTGGGATTTGTGCCGTTATCTCAGGTTACGGAAATCTAGGAATGGTAGGCTATCACGGGAATTAGGCCTTGAAGACCGTTTTTTTCCCAATCATTGGGGATGCCACGTGTCAGTAGAGGAGAGGTTCAATTTGAACCTCTCTTAGAGTGACACGTGTCACCATCTTATTGGGCCACGTGGCCTTGGGTATTTTTACCCAAAACATTTGCCCGTCACAAGTGTGGCGCCTGTGACACTTGTCACTTAGGTATTGGTGAATGGTTTTAATCGTTCATCTTCCGGGGAAATTACGGGGATGCCCCTGAAATTACCCTTCCATAAATAGCATTTTACACTCCTCTTTTTTCGGTCATTTCTAAAATTTAGAAAGAAAGTCATCCGTTTCTATAGAGAAAATATCTGACAACCGTCTGTGTATCCGACAATCGTCTGTGTATCTTCTGGACAATTGTCTCTTTTTACCAACTAGTTATCGCCGGTAAAACTTTTGTACTTTTGATAGAGGAGAATTTCTGAGAATCGCCTGAGTACTCTCCAAACAATTCTCTTTTTCAAGGGGGTACTCCGGTTAACCGTTTGTGCATCTTGCAAGCAACTGTTTGATTTCCACCTGCAAGTTTACAACCGGTCAACGCTTGACTTCATTTTCAGTACATCTCTGAGGTACCGTCTCTCCCCCTCTCAACTCTTTCATACTTTTCCGTTTGTGTACATATCATTCCATAAATGGATTCACCAACATCACACACGGCACAACCTAATTTAGTAGGCAGCCGGTCCCTTGGTACGACTGAGTCTAGGACTTGGGGTGCCGCCTCTAGGTGCTTGGATCACTCTTGTTCATCTCCAAATCCGACCGTCTCCGTGTTTGTGCAGGACACTATGGCTCGGACTAGATGGATGGCTGTAGATCTGGATTATAGGGAAGAGAGCACAGAAGTTGTGCTGCCTGAGATAGAACAGGTTGAATAGGCAATAGGATCCCCTCCGGGTGCACCTAGCACTCCTAGTGACGGGATACTTAGATCAGAGGATGGAGACGGTGAAGAAGTCGCCTCGGTGTCTGGCTCTTAGGAGGCGGTTGAGGCTGTCCCTAAGAGAAGCGGGGGTGAGTCCGCCTCTAGGTCTAGCTCTGAAGAGAGCAGCAGCTCACCATCACCGGATAAGGATAGCGAGGCAGAGGAGAGGTTAAAATGGAACAATGAGGGGGATCTATTCTGGATCCATGTTTCTGCGAAAGACAGGGAAAACATGGAAAAGCACCTGGAAGTTTTCAAGTCTAAACATCCTCTTGGCGAGGGTTATATCATCCTGATGCCGCCTGAATTGGGTACGATTTCCTGGGAGGATTACCAGCCAAACGCCAACAATTTCTTCGACTGCTATGAGCCGGCTTTCCTAGTCGGTCTTCGCTTCCCCTTTCATGACTCACTCAAGGCTATCATAAGAGGATACGACCTGGGAGTGTGGCAGTTAACCCCAAATTCTTGGGTTAACATTCTTGGTTACATCGCCGCCTGTGAGATACAGGGTCTCCACACCGGATAGGAGGCCTTTGCCCACATGCACTACATGAGTCGTAGTCGAGGCGACTAGAGAGAGTGGTACACCTTGACTACCTATCCCAATTACTTGATGACCCTAGACAAATCGTTTAAGTGGTCCAATTGGAAGAACCAGTTTTATCTGGTTTCTGCCCCCAAGCGGCGTGAGAACTTCTTATATCGCACTTACAACAAGAAGCCGGATTTATTGAGGCAGAAATGCAACTTCCTCAGGTCCCGGATGACGACTATGAAAAAATAATAGAGCTGCGGTTTTTTGAACTAACAACCACCACTCTCTTATCCGGGGAGTTAATCAGTTTACCCAAGAACTGGGTACCCAAGCATGAATTTTTGAGAGATGAGGAGTTCTTGTCCGCCTCCTGTTGGAGTACCCAGTTTGACAAACGTACGTTGATGCATGCATTCGGCAATGTTATGCTGTCTTTAATGTTTCTAGCTTGCGATTACTTTTGTCTGCTTGATAATCTGACAGACGGTTCCCTTTTGCAGAAACTGCCAGATAGATGCTTTCAGAAAACAAAACACCTGCTCGTTCTACAGCAGACCTTCGCAGAGAAAATGCGAAGAAGAAAAAAGCCGCACTGGCGGCTAAAGGCTAGGTATAAACCGCCTGCCCCAGCTTCTCCCCCAATGACTCATTTATGTATACAGACGGTTATGAACCGGCTGTATGATTAATGCCTGGTTCCGACTGTATGTTTAAAATCTGGTTCATTTTTCAAAATGGAGACAAAGGAGCTCGTGGATCCCTTTCCAAGTTAATTAGGTGGAGGCTGGGTGACGAGGTCACCAGCACTAACAAATCTATAAAAGTAACTTCTACTCAAACGAAATTTGAGCTTTCGCTTGGGAAGGGCCGTTTGACCGTTGGGGGGAAAAGAATCAGAAATGCTGGTCTTGGGATAGACCTTTCTAACCATTCGGGTGCTTCTGAAGTGCCGAAGGGTGGCCAGCCAGCCAAAGCTGCAAGCAGTTCTAAAGTGGCTGTAGGCGATCTGAGCTCATAACCTTATCCCCAAGGTACTGTTGACCCCCTCAACTCTCTCCCTTTGAGCTGGGTTGGCCCATGCGCGTCAAGTCATATTCTCAGCTTCAATAAGAGGATTCTTCGGGCAGTCGACGGTCTATTGGTGGCGCCTATTTACTTTCTCACCATATCTAACTGCTGGTGCAGATCAATCCTCCCGGTAGCCGGATGTGCAACAGTTCTCTAAAGCCATGCTGAGGGCTGTCCCAAAGGAGGACAAGGAGGCCATCCTTGAGATCCAGGCGTTCAACGTTGAACGGATCCTCTCTCTGTTGTATGAGGTAAAATAGCTTTACTCACATTTTTCTAAGTATATTGCCGGTTGCTTTTCTAACACCGTTTGCATGAATACAGATGATGCTGCGAGTAAAGGGGCTAAAAAAGTTGTATGCTCGAAAACAGGAAGAGTTAAGGCGAGCCAAAAGAGAGGCGTCTGAGTCTACTAATGTAGCTCAATATTCAATGTTAATACATGACCTTCAGACTAAAGCAGAGCTCTTATCGTAGGCGGACTCCATCAAACAACTTACAACTGCCCTTTCTGAGGTAAACTTTAAGGCCTCAAATCTAGATACTGAGCTCAAAATTGCTCAAACGGGCCTCAAATCTTTGGAGGAGACCAACCGGGAGAATGTCACTCTCAAAGCAGACGTCCACCGTCTGAAGAAGGAGATGACTGCTTCCCGGGACAACTTCAGGGCAACCTTGGAGGCTGAGCAGAGCCGGCTCAATGAGAAGAATGAGGAAGACTACGAGAACCGGATGAAGATGGCCTGGGAGCTCGTGTATCCGGATGCTGAGTATGACGCCTAGAACCTGGCCTACAGACACGCAGATCTTGTTCTCACGGCAGGGGTTGAAGGGAAGCCGAAGCTGGAGCTGTTTCAGGAGTGGCTCAAAAAGGAGCTCTCAGACGACGAGGAGGCTGTTGATGG